CTAGGGGTATTTTGGTCGTTTTTAATAAACTATTATACACCTTATAGTTTATTATTAAAGAAGGTTTACCCTTTGTGCAAATTGTAGGAGTTATAAGTCATTTTTAGAAATAATATTGTTTGAAGTCAACCTTTTGGACATATAAGACACTTCGATTTAACTTGTGTTATTAAACCCCAAGTGTTCTAAATGTTTTAAATTGTGTTTTTTGAGGTTTGATTCGAGTAAGCTATATTTCCATCCCTTATTCTAAATGAATCAACATCGAGTAATCACTAGGCAAATTCATTGTCTAACTCAATTTGATTTGTATTCAGATTGAAGACTTAGTGAGGCTAGGATATGGCATTGACTTTTAGAAGGCTTTGAATCGTGTGACCTTATGTGCGATAGCATGGAATATTTGGGTTTGGAGGTGTCGAGCTGTTTTTGATGGAGACTTTATTCTCCCTCATGATCCTAACCGGAGGATTGCTAACGATGTTTAAATTGCTGTCTCTGCTTTCTATTCGAAGAAAACGGAGCCAAGTATGCAGGTAACCAAGTTTCTTGCTTGGGATCGCAGGCACTACCCGACTTATTTCGGTATTGCATATAAGTACAAGTTTAGATGTGGCCATCTAGACAAGTGAAACGGTCCTTGCTGTCGAAGTTTACTACTGGATAGGAATTCTCAGCGGCGGGATTGAATACCCGGATCGAATCAGAGTTCACGCCGCCCGTCCTGAACAAATAGGAGGCGTGGGCCACAGGTCGCACATAAGCCGCCGGGTCGCACGACAGAAGAACACCCAACATAAAGATGCACACTCCTCCATGTGTACGTGAACCTTTGATATGATACCTATTTCATACCTCAAACTTTTCTAAAAAATTAAACTTTCGGAATACTTTTTGGACCATTTGTTATTCGTTCAACTTTTAAAATCTAAAACATGTTAATTCTAAATATAAAAAAGGGTTAATTATGTATTTTTAAACTTCCCAAGCTCGGGGTGTTTCAAATAGATAAGACTTTTAATTTTGTTAACTTTCTAGACTTGACGTAAAAGTATTAAGACTTGTTGGTTAATGAGATTTAGTTACGGAACAAACGAAAAACTTAAAAGTTTATGGATCAATTTTTTCATTATCTTAAAATTATGTTCTAAATCCTTAATTACTTTTCTTCCTATTCATTCAAGCGTTTGGGAGCTAGAGAGATCAACAAAATTCGAGTTTAGAAATATTTGATGAAATTTAGAGAATAATTAAAGATCAAATGGTCTTTCTAAGCTAATTCTCGAAGTGAAAGATTGTAAGGTAGTTTTCTTATTCATTATTTTCATCTAGGTTTATGAAAGCTCCATGAATCTAAATTCTATGATGAAATTTATGATTAGATTGAGTCTTGTGTTAAAATTTAAGTATATAACACCAATATAATGATGTGAGTTCATCTTTTTGGTATAAAATGAAGCTATGAAGCTTTAGTGGTGGATTTGAAACCCTAGCATTATGAATTCATTTATGGATCCAATAGAATTCAATTTATGGGTTTGGATTAGTTTGTTGTTTTACATGTAATTCTAATGATTATACGTTCAAATCATGTGTTGAAATATCCAATTTTTTCAAATTTCAAGTTGTGAAGCTTTGATGGAATTTATGAGCTTTTCCAATGGTGGATCATTCTTGATCAATCCAAATTCAAGTTTGACAATTAATTAATGCTTTATAATGATTTGGATTATATATTATTGTGTTCTAAAATACTGAAGAGATTTTAGTTTAGTAGTCATATCTTCAAATTGAAGTTGTAATTTGATGATGGTAAAGATCATTCCTTAATCCATGAATTAAGGATTTTAATGATAATATTCGTTTTTTATCTAGTATTAGAAAACGAATTTAACTCTATTTAGTTATCCCAAGTCATTAAAGTTGGAATTAGAGTTGTTGGAAGTCATTTTGATATGTTATGGAGGGTTAATGGAGGTTTTAACTCATGATGTGCTATCAGACAATTCCACTCAACCGACTAAAATCAAAGTGGAAATTCAACTTGATCGAGTAAAATTTTGTTTGCACACATGAAAACTTCTTTTTGTTTTATCAAATTATTTTGTTGCTTCCATTATCTTCTTTGTTGCTTCCATTTACAATGTTAATTATCACTTATAATATTAATATTAGTAAAATGATTTTAATAAAATTTAGCTGTTTGTCAAAATGCAATTTAACTTGCTATCTTGTATTACTTGTAAACTATTAGTTACATGTGCTACATAGTAACCCTCAATATGAATCTATTTAAACTAAATTGATTATTAGTTATATTAATTAGTGTTTGTAATTAAAATTATAAATGGTGTTTTATTGCATACTAATATAAAAGACTAGGGAAGAATCAATCTTTACAAGTAGTTTCAAAATGTTGAGAACCACATATTAGAAAAAGAATGTGACCATAAAACCACGAAAAAAGTCTTTGTCGATTGGCAAAATAATGATAGATAATCGTTTAGGTACTTAATTTTTGCATTAAGCTATAAATAACACAAGATGTGTTTACTGTTTTAAATTGCCTCTTGAAAGATATATTTTTAAATTTGTCCCGAAACATTTGAAGTTCTAGATTCAGCCCCACTAATTCTAAACTTTATGTTTTGCCCCTAAATACTGATATACATACCACACGTATATGCACATATAGCCACATACAAATGCATAACATAAAAATAAATGAACATAGACAAACACATATGTATACCAGAAAACACAACAAACCACAATGGCCATTTTTGTAGTTATCTTTATTTGTAATAATCTTTTCCTTTGAATGATATAGAAATTATACTAATACTAAAGTATATATAGAAATGGTCCTTGTTGTATACCTTTATAGATATAGTCTAAGTTTTGGAAAATTGCCAAGTATCTATATCGTTCAAAATCAAGCATATTTGGTCCTTTAGGCTTACACCACTAAATTTTTATGTTAAGTTTATTGTAAAAAGACTTTTACCCTTCCTTTTAATATTATATTATGTTACCTTTGGTAGGCTTTCAAGATTATGCTAACCACCACACCTTGTTGCCCCAAGTTGTCGCAATTGGAACTCAGAATTCTTCGAATTATCATAGAGGAACTCCAATCAAACTTAGATAATGTTGGTAGAGACTTGGAAGAGTGTAATTTTAACACTAGTATAAAAATGATATTTGGTAACAGTTTTATTAAAATAGCTTAGTCATATTTTTTCTTATTTATATGGCTAAAGGTTATTTATGAGATTGTGGTATCGTTTTAGCTATATTTTAAGTTAATAATTGTTACCATTGCCAATAATATACACACAATTTTAATGTCTTATTTAATAGTGTATTGTTGATAGTGTTTTCTACTGATGAAATGTAGATTGTAAACAATGCTCAAGGTAGACCAAAAAATGATGTTACATTGTTAATCGCGTTATGAAATGTTGATTGTAAAAAATGCTCAAGGTGGACCAAAAAATGATGTTACAAATAGCAATTCGAGTATGAAAAATAATTTTTGAGAAGATTCAAGAAAGTTTAGTTCATGATGGCTAGAGAAATGATGTTATAGTTGGTGATTTAGATTTGGGTAAACTAAAAGAGGAAAAAGGTTTAAAGAAATTGTTTAAAGAGATCAAGATATTTGAGAAATTTTCACACATAACGTCCGATGTGTCACCCCTATCCACACGTGAACACCGCCCCAATGGGTAGTAAGTGTGTTGTGGCGTGACTCCGGCCACGGGAGAAGATTATTGATTTGATTGGGTGATGGTTTTTGTTCCTCTTCTCTCTTTCTGGTCCTTAATCTTCTTTCTTTCTCGTTCTCGTCCGCTTTCTTTCTCCGTTTCCATCTGATTATTCCCCTTTCTCATGTGAGTTCTTCTAGTTCTTCATAGTCAGCGCATGCAACGCAACAAAGGGGGAAAGGTTTTAAGACTTCCTGGGTTGAATGAATTAAGAAAGAAAAGGTATCGGTTGTACTCCAACTCAAAAGAATCCCATGCCCAATTTTAGTTTTTGACACAATAGGGCCTTAAGTCTCATCTTCATACATTAGTAGTTTTTAAATTTATAATATAGGGTTTTAATGTAATTTTTTATTAATAAAATACTTATTTAAGTTTAAAATTCTGTTTTTTTATTTAATGAAATGTGGTTTTATTTTTTATGTTTTCAAAAAATTTATTATGTTATAAATCACGTTTTTTTTATTTAATATAATGTTAATAAATAAATAAATAAAAGAATATTTGTGGAGTGCTAACCATTTACAATGGTGAAACTAATATGATGCAGATGTGACAATACTTTTTCGGTGAGTTGGAGGTGACCGTTTCCCATAACCTTAACCTAGAGAACCAAATGTGTTTGATTTTGAAACTATAATGATATTCAATTTCCCAAAACTTAAACTTAGACTAACTGTAGTTTAATGTTAATCACTTAAATTTCAAAAACTATAAAATAAAACGACTCTTAAGTTTGAGTTCTCCGAAATCCTACAGTCCTACTTTAGGATGATTTCGAAAAAAAAAATATATAATAATTGGGTCGCATGTCACTAGAAGCAATTTCACTACTTAATAATAATCTAACACATATGAAACACGTGGGAAACAGGTGATTCGTTTGATGAAAAAGTGTCGTTGGCACATAGTAAGTTGGCTATAATAATTGGAAAGGAAACAATGAGAACGACAACTATATAAGGACAACGTATCTCTAGAAGATATATTATTATTTTTTTGTATTGTATCTCTCACTATACACAAAAGATATCCACATATTATAATTGTGAATAAATGCGAAAAATGAGATTGGTCCCATTAATAAAAGGTGGTCCATCTCCTTCCCCATAATTGGGGTTACGTTATTAGCGCAGCAACTCCGGCAACTAAAACTTTTCCAGAATTCTGATCGATCATGTCATTGCAGTATAGTAACGTATATATATCTAGCTACAAAGTATTGCACGTTTAAAAGTTCCAAAGGAATGATGACCCTTGCAAGTATATCCCATCACTGTTATCTTCTCCATAATCACTCGGAGTTGGCGTCGTTGTCATGAAATAATCGTCAAATCCTGGAAATATCCCAAAATCCGGCACGCCAGTATTATTATAGGTGGTACTGTTACCAATATCATTATGATCAAGATTCATGTAGCTGAAGTCATTTAGAAACGGAGATGTTGGGTCGAGCGGCGGGGATTGGGAAGTCGACGCCTCACCATGATCCGTCTGAAAAGCTCCGTCGGAGATGGAAGGCGAAGGGGACTCCTCAGAAGAACTGGAAGAGGAGGAGTTATTATCTTCGGTGGTGGTGCAGTTGGAGTTGGAGATGGAGTTTGCAAAGCGAGAAGCTGCAGCTTGGATCTCGGAAGGAGGCAACGATGTACCTCCGGGAATGTCAGGGATTTGGTCGGGAAAGTTGAACTTGGCGGTGCTGCCACGGAGACAGTAGAGAGCGGCGTCGAAGGCTCTTGCGGCCTTTTCCGGTGTGTCGTAGGAGCCTAACCAGATCCTTTCACGGCTGTTTGGTAGCCTGATTTCCGACACCCATTTACCCCATTTCCTTTTTCTCACACCTTTGTACTTGGCGTCACTACTCCTGTCATGAGCAGATGGTTTTTCGGGTTTAACCATTGTTGTAGTGTTGTTACTTGTTAGAGACTTAGAGTGCGTTGGTGTTGTGTTTGGACTTTGCAATTGGCGGCTACCTATATATATGTGTGGGGGTGACTGCGGGAGTGAGTGGTGGGTCAACATGACGCGTTGACTGTTTGACCAATAAACACAGATGATACTAGGGTTAGTGCTTACGCGGTCTGGTCATCCACAAGAGTGGTTCACGTGCGTTTAAAGTATCCACAATGATCTCATCTTTGATAGCATATATGATGTTACTAGGCTAGCCCGTGCTATCTGTTCCGATAAAATTAACATTGCAATTGGAATCCAAACCATCCTGGAACTGTCACTTTCTAGCGCTTTAAATCGTTCCGGTTCATACTCGTTCCATACCCGTCAAAACTATATATATATATATATATATATATATATATATATATATATATATATATATATATATATATATATATATATATACTAGTTTATAACCCGTGGGAACAACGGTTACAAAATTAATTAAATTTTTATAATAAAAACTCAAAATTATTAATTATTTATTTTAAAAATAAAATAATAATTAAGAGATTTTTTTAGTTATATAAATTTTAATCATTGATTTAAAAAATATGTGAAATTGTATCATTTTATAAATTGTATTAATTTTTTTTAATTTTTATATTAATGTTATTAGTTTAATGTAATTAAAGTGGAAAACTTAAAATTTAAAGTTTGAAATGAAGTTGACAAATAACATTCATTAATTATGAGAGAAGACACATGACAACAGAAGAATAAATATATATTAATTAGGATGCCGAATAGGATGACACATGTTAAAAGGAGAATAAAACTATTCTTTTATTAGAATAAGGATATATATACTCTAATAAATAAAGGTTTGTTTGTCACATTTCATCTTTTCCTTCATTTGGATACATGACATTTTCTACAATTTTTAGATTTTCTATATTTCAGTTGCCTTTTTATTGTATTTTTCATTTTATTAAATTAAAATTACATATTTAATATGTAAGATAATATATATGTAAGGTATTTATTAGAAAATGGTTTATATATGTAATGTATTCAATACATTAAAACCTTATTAATTTTAATAATTCAAATTTTTTCTCATTTTTCTTATAAATTCAAAATTTTCAAATTGTTAAAATTTCATATTAATTTTTTTTTTAATTAAACCCATATAATACATGGTGTAACGACCCGTCTCTGGTATGTTGCTTTTATAGTATTTATTTTTGAAGTTTGTAAAGGAACTCGGCGAGTCTATGTCCCGACTCGTCGAGTAGGGTCGCGTTCTTGATCAGCTTATAGATCGGCGACTCGGCGAGTCCATATTCGGGACTCGGCGAGTCGGCCTGCCAGGTAGAAACCCTAAATCCCCGGGTTTGCACCCTATTTAAACCACCTTATCAGCCCCAAACTCGCCTCTTTCATCCCCAAAACGTTATCTAAGCAAACCCTAATCATATCATTGCGTTTTTGAGCATTCTTGGTGTAATTCTTGAAGTTTTGAAGAGGATAAGAAGGCTAAATCCAAAGAAGAAGAAGAAGATCCAAGTCCTTGCTCCCATCTCGGAGTACTTTGAGGTAATGATCAGTTTCTTCCCGTTTTGTTGATAGATTCCCCTTTATAAGCATATTTAGCCCATTCTTTAGCTTGTTCATAGTTGAGAAATCATATTGGATGGATTAGCTTTCGAATCTAGCCATGTTTCTTTTCCAAAAGCGAAGATCTATCAACTTTATGGAGCCATTTTGCATGATAGCCCTAGATTTACTCTTCCAGGTGTCTTTCTAGCCTTTATACCCTTTTGTATGCTTTTGTACACGTAAAGTTGGGAACTTTACGTGGTTAACCAGCCTTAGGAGCTCAGATCTATATATTGTAAGCAGTGGTTTTGAGCATAATCGAGTTTTTAGAAGTTGCATGCATAAGACTCGGCGATTCGTTCTTCGGACTCGGCGAGTCGAGTCGCGAGTCCCCGATTCTTCCCCTTTGAGTGATTCCGAGTGGGGACCAGTGAGTAGTGTATGGACTCAGTGAGTTAGAGGTTAGACTCAGCAATGGAGGGACTCGACGAGTTGTTCATACAACTCGGCGAGTCCAAGGCAACCTTCTTATGATTCAAGAACAACTCGTCGAGTTGTTCATACGACTCGGCGAATCGGATGCCTATGACCTAAGTGTTGATATAAAATGGGAACTCGTCGAGTGTATGCCATACTCGACGAGTAGCAGCGAGCAGGGTTGAGAAATGAGAGTAGGGACTCGGCGAGTTGGCGGCCCAACTCGGCGAGTCAGGTCAACTGTAAAGTTGACTTTGACCAGGAGAGTTGACTTTAGCCAGGGGTAAAAGAGTCATTTTACCCCAATACAGTTATTAGTATTTGATTGAGTGTATTTGTGGAATTGTAGCCGGGGAGACACCGGAGCAGCAACAGATAGTTCCCGGAGCCACACACTCAGCAGCCAGATCACGAGGTGAGTTTCCTTTCAGTAGGAACGGGTCTAAGGCCACAATGCCGGCCCGTTTAGCTAGCAGTAGTTTCCGGACTTCGGTCCGATGCAGATTTTAGTATGTTTGATGCCTTCGTGGCTCAGACAGGATTTTGTGTTATGTGTTTCGGGTTATAGCCCAATGTAGCATGCTATCTATGTGCTTATGTTAGTTGATATGCTTATGTGATGCTATGTTCAGTATGTTCCGGACTTCTGTCCGATGCAGTCAGTTCCGGACTTCGGTCCGATGCAGTTAGTTCCGGACTTTGGTCCGATGCAGGAGGCAAGGCCTCAGTAGTTCCGGATTTCGATCCGATGCAGAGGGCAAGGCCCTGGTTAGTTCCGGACTTTGGTCCGATGCAGTTTCCGGACTTCGATCCAATGTAGTGGGCAAGGCCCAGTATGTGTTTATATGTATTATATGGTATGTGGTAGTTTGGGGAAGCTCACTAAGCTTCGTGCTTACAGTTTCAGTTTTGGTTTCAGGTACTTCCGCAAGCAAAGGGAAGAGCTCGGGTTGACGGCATCACACACACCACAGCTTCAGCTGTCCTGGGAGTTGTTTTTGGTAGATGTGATTGATATAGTCTTGATATAGTTTACTCATAACACTTTGCTATTATTTTTGAGATATTGACGTACGAGTTTTACCTTATGATATTATCATGGTGTTTTTAGTAATTATTAAACAAAAAATTTGGGTCATATTTTGGTATGTTTCAAGTTGGTATCAGAGCCTTGGTTTGAGGGATTCGGATATACTTTCGGGTGTGTCTGAACTCAAACTAAGGAAACGGTAAAGATTTTCAAAGGAAAAATGTTTTTGAAAATGATTTTGAAAAAAAAGAACTTAGGAAAATAAGAGATTTGATAAAAAGAAAATTGGTGTGGCGTATGCGATCAACCGAGCTCAAGTAAGTATTCCCAAATTACCCATACATGTTACTTTATGTTTATCAGTTTTAGTTTCAGTAGAACAGCATGCTAGAATAGGACTAAGGATCTAGGAGGATGCCTTATGTGCCTGCTTTATGTGTTTCAGTTTCACGAGATCTGCATGCTACTATTGAAGTAGACAGTAGTAGGATAGCCTGTTAGGTTATGCCTAATAGTATGAGCTTAGCATTGTATGCTAGAACAGTATTTCGTTATGAGAACAGATTTGCTTGAGTAATTTCCTGTATCCGAATGCTGCTTGCTTCGTGCTTTGTGGGACTCTGAGTGACGGGAGTTAGTCATTAGGTGAATACGACACATCACATGTGACAAGGGTTGAATAATCTCAGAGTGTTGGATTTGGCTCTATTGCGCAGCTCTTGTTTGAGTCTAACCGTGGTAGGGACGAGTCCTTTACTCGAAGGATTATCTGAGCCTCATCACATGTGATGGTATTCAGGTGATGACTAATTATTGACACAAGGAGACCTTCAGCAGCTGAGGACTGTTTTGAATAGAGTCAGAGATTCCCCTAGGGCAAGCCTAGGATGAGAGTAGCAGAGACCAGTAGTAGTAGAAGTGACTTGGTGGAGTCAAGGCAGTTCTTGAGGAAAGTACAGATAGATGTGGAAGGTAGTATGGGCCCGTACTACTGAAAGCAGAGGATCTGTACTCGAATCAAGGAAGGTTGAGACAAGACCAGGAAACTAGTATTGGTATCAGTGATCCATTGAGATATTTCAGTTTTCTGATGTTGCTATGATTTGTTTCAGAATGGTAGTTTTGCGTTCGAGGCCAGAAGTCGACAGTTCAGATGCCGGAGGGGGATCAGGATCAGGATCAGGCCCGGAGGCGGGCAGTTGGATGAGCAGACCAGAGAGTTTCTTTCTTCTGAGGTTACCCGCATCATACTGGAGCAGACTCCTGTGATCTTCGGTTCGATCAAGGAGGGTATTCTAGAGCTGATGGATGAGAGATTGGGCACCTTCCATGTCGAGATGGCGGCCATGATGGGGTCGCGCACACTTACGTTCAGGGAGTTCAGGGCATGTGGAGCTCCAGACTACCATGGGGCGCGGGACCCCATAGCGAGTACTAGATGGTTGGCGGATGTGACCAACGCTTTCCGCACGAGCAGGTGTCCCGAGGGGGACAAGGTTAGATTGGTGTCCTGTCTCCTGAAGGACAGGGCACGGGATTGGTGGGAGGAGGTCGGACATACTATTGGAGATGATGCAGCGTTAGATGCCATGACGTGGACCGATTTCATCACCAGGTTCAGGGCGGAGTTTGCACCGGTTATCGAGGTGCAGCAGTTAGCCAGGGAGTTTCAGGACCTCACCCAGACTACAGAGACAGTGGCAGAGATCACCGCAAAGTTCAGGGAAAGGGCTCTTCTCGTTCCTCAGTATGCAGCTGGTGAGGAAATGAAGAAGGCCCGTTATCATGAGATGCTGCAGAGCGATATCCGCCAGTTTGTGAGCCGGTCCAGCTGTAAAATGCTGGATGACATGATTTCTAGGGCTCTGGAGAGGGAGATTGACCTTGAGATGGA